TGTGCCAATTTTCTGCTTAAACGAGGGTTTTCTGCTACATGTGTAGGCTTTTGAGATAATCTTGTTGCCCTCATGGACAGATAAATTTAGACATCGACAGTATAAATATCATCCCAAACATATTAGAACAAGAAACTACTTTGATCCAGGTACATATTCATCATATTGCTTCCCAACTTTAAAAGACAGGCTTCAAGAAACAACATTTTGTTCTTTCAATAATGCTAGGGGTAAAAAAAAGAAACTTTTCTAACATAAGCCCCATTCCTTATTAACACTCTTTAGTTTGTGTTTTGAATAAAGTGCTTTGTTGCAGATACATTGAGGATACTGCTTGTGGGGTGGAAATGGATGTCATAAGTAGCAGTGGGCCTTAATTGCTGCATTCTTACCAGAAAACATCCCTGCCACCAAAAAAGAGTACAGTATTTTTATTTGAGCCTCATAGTGCTGGTGCATAAAAATGTGTTACACATGTATTTCAAAGCTAAGGGTGATGTATGAATAAGGATTCTCTTTAGGATAAATAGAAATGTCCTTGGTTCATTTTCTTTAAGGCTTTTCATACATTTCCTGAATGATACAGGGATTTTCTGGTATTGTTACCCCTGTTTGTTTTTTTGAGCTTTTTTAAAAAATTGAGCTTTCTAGCCAAGAACATGATCATTGACAAAGAAGACATACTTTACAGTTTTAGAACTTTATGAATGTTCCGTAATAACTTTTATTATCTCAGAAGTAGGTAAAATGCAAAATGGTACTATTCACTTTCCCCCATGCAGGGAAGTGCCATTCCTGCATAAGCAAGCCAACAGATCTCCTCCTCCACCCCATCTCAGGCAATACCCTTAAACAGACGATGCACCTGGAAGAGAGCTGGTCTCAAAGCATTCCCTCCCATGTAGCTAGAGTAACATTGGCTTACTGACCAGCAATGGGTCAGGAGGACACAAGTCTTCAGCATAAAATCTCCCACTTGCTGACACTAGGTCAGTGGGTGTATAATCAGCCTCTGTCCATTCAGTTGGTTCATTGAAATGTTACTGTAGCTTAGTGATTCCCAACCTTGGGTCCCCAGATGTTTTTGGACTGAAACTCCCAGAAGCCTTCACCACTAGCTGTGCCAGGATTTCTGGGAGCTGTAGTCCAAGAACATCTGGAGACGCAAGTTTGGGAACCACTGCTCTAACTGCATGGAAGTATGTATGAAGGCAGATCTCACACACTTAGGGTAACGTATATCCGACTTGGGTTTTGTGCAGTTTAGGATAAAACAAAGGACTAGTCAGAGGGACCAAGTCTCCCACCTGCCTGAACCAGTAAGCTTTTACCAGTACTGTATTGGTCAGTACTAGAATTAATTGATACTCCCTCTGAGTATCAAGGAGACTGAAGTTGCTGGTTTCCCTACTGTTCTCTCTGTTTGCCTGAGCAGAGGGATGGCAGAAGGTTGAATCCTGTTTTAGCACTGTGGAATTAGTTCATAGTCAGCTGTGGAGCTAAACACTCACAGAGCTTAATATGTCTTTTTTAGATATAGTTCAACTGCAAAATGGGGAACATCCCCACATACTCAGCCATTTTAGATTGAGGTGAATAGTAGTGATTTAATTTGCAGGCCAGATGAAATGTTAATTGCTAATTCCTGTGTCAAAAGACATTACCATGAGAGACTTGTATAATGCAGGAGGATAGTAAGAGCCCCTGACTTTTTTTTTTAATTGGTGGGTTTACTTGGACTTTTGAAGACGTATCATAGACACAATCACAAAATGGCTGCCATGAAAGGAAGTTGCTCATTTTCAAAATGGCTGCTTTTGTAGTTGCATCCAATCACAAAATGCTTGAGAAAGGGGAAAAGGTGAGACTAAAAGAGAGAGAAAAAAGTGCCCAGTGACCCCAAGTCTAGATCAACAGGTGGCTTAGTGGGCTGTAAAGCCAAGCACCACTTCTGCAGTTACCTGCAATCTTCATTTATCTGCTCATCCTCAGGAAGGGCAATGAAGACGGGTGACCATAAGCCTGATGCTTCCTTTTTCATGCTCCCGAATTTAAGGAGAAAACATTGCTCAACCACCACCTTGGGAATTGCCTATGATGCTATATTGTGGACTCCTGTAGTATTGTATAATGTGAACCGACAGAGTTCAAGTTATGGTTTTGGATGCCACTGAGTCGTTTACTTATTGTTCGCTGAGCTCAGACTGAACACATTGTTTTCTGTCATACATGTGCTCATCAGTAGATTGATCACAGGATCTTATGAAAGATTTGTTTACAGAAATTTTGTACACAGTCTCATCTTTCATTGCAAATGCTTTGCTTGGGAAGCTTAACAGAAAGTGGTCTGCACTGAAATGTTTTTAACAAATAATTGCTGGGGCATCTAACTGCCTTAATGGATTGCTGTGGAAAACACAGACTGCTTTGTTCAGGTGAGTTTATTCACATCACATGTCTTACATATGAATTTCTTGGTTCTTCAGGCATTCTCCCCTCTGCCACTGAATAAAGTTAGGGTGTTTTGTAGGGGGCTATCACACGGCACCATTTCCCCCCCTCCTTTATATAGCAGAGTCCTCAATGTGTCTGCAGAAGAGACTACTTGTGACATCTGACAGTAGAGCAGTACATGTAATTCTATATCAGCTTGGTCAGCATTCTTTCTATTCCATCTGTGTAATCTGTGTGGAAAAAAATTGCTTTTGTGGCTTTGGAAATATGGATGCATCTGTGTTGTTTTCCTCCATACTTTTCACTGTTTGACCCCTGTAGTAGAGATAAAAGAATTAGGGGGGGAAAAAGAGAAAAGAAAAGTAGTGAGCAGCACAGCAAATAAATGTTAATAAGTTGCTTTTAAACATTGCAATGAGTATTGACAAAGGGCTACTTCATAGGCAGTGCAACAAGCAAAAGAAATTAGTTGCATTTAAAAAGACGTTTTCCAGCTTCTTTTTTCCCTTCCCTTGAGAGGGTGAAAATATTTACCTCGTGGTGGTAAAAGGCAATAGGCAGCGGAATCTACCTACTATTTGAAAGTTAGCAGAAGCTGCTTTTTAATATGAAATGTATATTGCTGAGTAGCGCTGCCAAAAAAACAAAGCAGTACAGGGGTAGTGAGTGGGCCAGACTAACATATTTTCTCTTACCCATTTTTCTTTTGTGCAATCCAGAATGGGGAAGAGAAGAGACTGTGAGGTGGACATGAATCCCTGGCTGAACCTGGTTTGAAACCGGGCCAGCCAGTTCAAGTGGAGAAGGGGCTTCCATTTTTTAAAATCCCTCCCAAAGAAGGGCAGTTCAGATATTGGTCCCATCTCCACTCTTATGTCTGCACAGTCTGTAAAATTCTCTAGGATGTGCTGCGTTAACTTGTGTTTCTTAGAATACCCATGCCTTTTGCTCTTACTGAATGAGGAGCTTTCTCTAGCCTGTGCGTGTTGTGAACATGCCTACAGAACATGTTACAAATGCTTTTTGTGATTTCCCCATCTATCAGCTCTTCCTTTATATCCCACTGTGTCAGCAAAGGAGCTAGAATTATTGTAAGCTTGTTTGATTGCCTGTTCTCAATGTAGTGCCATGATTTTAAAAAAAAAGAATGTGTATGAGTGCTCCAGGATTCACAACGCATCATGAAGTCTTGGGAGTCAAAGTGCTTTGGTCCCACAGAGGACAGATAACAAAAGAATACTCTGAACAAAGCAGCCATATAACTCCCCGGTTGATTATACAAAACATTTTGTTCCATTTTGATCAGCCCATCCCAACAGGAACATTTATATTTAACAGGAAAGCCAAATGGGATTGTCATAAGTTTTTTTTTTTATAGAATGGTTTGTGCAGAACAAAGAGGAGAGTGGAGGCGTGATCCTTTTCCAGCAGAGCAACCATGGCACTGTAGAATGAAAAAGGGGCACAAATAAGAAACTTAGTCCATGAAGTTGGGGCACCTGATGGAAATGAGTAGCAGAAGATTTGAAAATTAGCTGAAACTATTTGGTTTGTTTGTTTGTTTTTTCATATGGCACGCTTATTGCTGAGTAAGTGCTGCAGGAAAAGAAAACAGTACTGTGGTTAGTTGCATGTTGGCAAGACCTGTGTAGGATGAGTCTGCCAGTGTCCTTTTGTTGAGAATCAATTTTCAGACCACGAGCTGTGTCTGCAACAACAAAAATAGAAGTAGCTCCTTTAAGACTAGCAAATTTATTTTGCTGTTAGCTTTTGTGGAGTGCAATCTACTTTCCAGATACTTAGAGTACATGGGACTGGGATGGGACTAAATGTGAGGACCCCTATACTTTGTTATTGGACATCAGTGTGTCTTCTTTGTATACTGCTTTTTTTAAGGATGTCACACTTTTATGGTGCGATTGAGTACAACAGACTGGACCTTTTGCTATTCACAAAATACATCAGCATGCAAACCAGGAAAAATTGATTTGTGTGTGTGTGGTCTCTTGTAGAGGGATCTTGCCAAAGAAAGGAATTGTAAACTTTAAACCATATTGGGGACTTCTACAGTTCATTGTAAACAGTTGATCAGCTCTTTATTATAAGGTTAGGTTGGGTTAATTAAAGAATTCTAACATTTCTTCACTCCAAGTTACAGTCAGGCTGTTTCTTGGGTGTCTCTGTGTTTTGCATAAGTCAGTGAGGCAGCTACACAAATTGCTCATTTAAAGACTTCATTTCATTTTTTTTTTATTTGATCTTGACAAAATTAGGCAACTGGGGAGGAAATGTTGATACTGTATCCCTTCACTTACAAAGCATTTCATAGATGCCATTGAGGAATGTTTTGTGTTGGAATGTTGGAAGAGCCAAGGGAAATCTATTGGTTGCTTCCACCTGGATCTGTATTGTAATCTTCTTACTTGACAGAAGCATAAATAAATGTTGCTTAAAGTGAAATCCCGTAACATTTCTACTTGATAGCACATTAGCAATCTCTGCTCGTGTTGTAACATCTTTGCATGTGTGTCTGTGTCTCTCCTTAGGATCTCTCTGGTTCAATAGATGATCTGCCTATGGGTACAGAAGGAGCACTGAGTCCTGGCGTAAGCACATCAGGGATTTCCAGCAGTCAAGGAGAGCAGAGTAATCCAGCTCAGTCTCCTTTTTCTCCACATACCTCTCCTCACTTGCCAGGCATCAGAGGACCTTCCCCATCACCAGTTGGGTCTCCAGCAAGTGTAGCTCAGTCACGCTCTGGTCCCCTGTCTCCTGCTGCAGTACCAGGTAAAACATTTGTTTGTCATAGGTACATGCCCCCCACCATTGTTAAAAAAAATCACTTAGCAAGTCCCCGGAACAACACCAACCCTGCATGCTTTTGTTGTTGATGTATCAGATTAGGAATTGAGAGCTTAACCACAGAGCTTGATAAATTACCCTTCGGCTAGTCACTCAAAAGGATTACAGTGGTGCCTCACTTAACGAGCGCCTATGGGGATTTTTCGCTTTGCGATATTCGCTAAGCGTTTCGCTTAGCGAATATCGCATAACGAAGCCGGGAGAACAGCTGATTGGCGCTTCCAAAATGGCCGCCGGAAGGTCCGCGCCACATTTTCGCACCCTGCCCTCGCTTACCGAGGGTGCGAAAATGGCGGCGCTATGGCAGAACATCGCTTAACGGTGAGTTTTAAAGCCATAGGAACGCATTGAACAAAGTTCAATGTGTTTCTATGGCTTTTTTATTTCCGTTTAGCGATGTTTTCGCATAGCGAAGGTTAATCCGGAACGGATTAACCTCTCTATGCGAGGCACCACTGTATTATTAAAATAAAGGACCTTCAAAGAGGAAAAGTAAAATGTATGTAATAAGGAAGCCAAAAATTAAGTAAGCCAAAATTAGATAAGAAATCTGGGTTCAAAGCCCACCACAGTCTCTTATTTCAGTAGCTTTGGACTAGTTATTGTCCCTCATCTTTCCTTCATTATTTGTAAATGAGAATAATAAAGCTACTTGTCAACGGTTCCCATCCTGGGTCTTCAGATGTTCTTGGACTAAAACTCCCAGAAACCCTCATCACTGGCTGAGCAGACTAGGATTTCTGGGAGTTGTAGTCCAAGAGCATATGGGGATCCAAGGTTGGGAACCACAGGTCTAAGAGGAATTAGGAAATGTTAAATGCCTTTAGCTGTATAGGTCAAATGGTTATAAATTAGGGTTCTCTCTTTGTGTAATGTATTTTGCGTCATTCTTTCTCAATTTGTTTTTGTTTGTTTGAAGGCATAAGATTTTTCATTGTGTTAATACGTTCTCATGGTGAATTTTTGTCTTTTCGTGGCACAGGCAACCAGATGCCACCACGACCGCCCAGTGGCCAATCAGACAGCATCTTGCATCCCTCCATGAATCAGTCAACCATAACGCCAGATAGAGGTGTGTGTGTACAGTTACCGTTAGACCATTTGGTATGGCCTCTTTACTTATAAAAAATATAAAACAGCATGAGTGAAGGCCCAGTCCTGAAGTCCATGCTCCACTTTAAAATAATTTACAAATGCAAGAAGCATTTGTAGCAATGTAAGATATAGAGTAGAGAATTGAGATTGAATGCATATATTTGTGTGTGTAATATTTCTGTGGCATAATGAACTCTGCCTTGGGGCAGCTGCTGAAATGGCTTTACCAAGCTACCTCAGGACAGCTTAGGTGTTAAGGTGCCTAGGGGTAGACCTTTAGAAGTTGCCTTTTAATTTCAAGACTCAGTGGAAATACTGCAAATATGGACGTAAACACTTGTCTCAGTTTGCTGTTTGTTGACCCTTTGGATATTCATTGGATCCTGAATGAATTGTCGTGTTTGGAAATAATTTATGAAAGCTTTCTAAGGATACCCTTATAATTGAGACCTAACTTTTAATAAGAACTCTTGTGGACATTGAAAAATGATGAGGTTTATTTGGCGTTAACTTTCCTGCCCTATAACCCACTTCTTCGGTTGAAACTAATCCCTTGAAGAAGAAGATTCTGTTTCCTCTCTGAAGTAAGATATAGTTAATGGGAAGGAACTGTTTATACTATGTGTGTCAGTCTCTCTTGCTTCTCCATCCTAAGCATCCTTAATGAATGCAGGAAACGTAGCAATTACTGGAAAGAACATGTAACAAACAATAGCTACAGAATAAAGTTATGTTGTGCTGCAGTTCTTGTAAAAAGAAGAATTTCCAAAGAAGTATTCGTCTTAATTTGTTCCAGCATTTTCAGAAAGGAAAAAAAAGATGTTTTAGATTTTGAAGGCTACCTGTTTTATTTAAGTGTGAGGACACCTGGATGTGAATATAGACAGTATATAGAGAACAGGTATATGCACCCCTTTGTCTCATGAGTGGAAGTTGACCCAAAAAAGCTCACAATGAAATAAGAGTCCTACGATATTTTGCTTTTTCCTTTCTTTTGCCTGCATATAAAAATAAGAAATTATTATGTATTAATGTGTAATTACTATTGAATTTTTAAAAATACCATTATACCTCAAGCAGAAACGTCCTTTGTGTGTAATTCAACCTTTGTAGAGATTATAGAGGTGTGTGTATGTGTTGTTTTTAGTGCATATCTGCATTGTGCATAATCTGCTTTAATAACAATATGGCTTTAAACTCAATTATTTCAGTAGGTTACATACAAAGGAACCCGCAAATGCCCCAGTATAATTCTCCTCAGCCTGGGTCTGCCTTATCGCCACGCCAGTCTTCTGGAGGACAGATGCATGCTGGGATGGGACCGTACCAACAGAATTCCATGGGCAGTTATGTACCTCAGGGAGGTCAATATGGACCTCAAGGTGATTAAGCTGTGGTTGTGAGTGAAATGTATGAGTCATGAGAATATATTGTGTAATAATAATAATCATGTCCCATCAAGTCAATTCTGACTTATAGCGACCCTTTTGAGGGTTGTTGCTTTTTTCAAGAAGAGAGTACACAAGTGGTTTACCATTCCCTTCTGGGGGTGCCCTGAGACTATGCAGGTTCCCCAAGGCCACACAGGCTGGCTTTTCTGGGGGGGATTGAGCTCCCAAGCTCTGGCTGTCCATCCAGATGCCTAATTTGCTTAGCTATCTGTCTCTAGCTTGATAGAAAAATGAGGAGCTTAGATTAGGAACAAAGAATTTTTGTAGGTCCTGGGAACTGTTTTTGCCCCACTTGTCCAGGACCTTTCTTTGTTAAAAGTATACACAGTGGTGCCCCGCTTAACGGGCGCCCCGTTTAATGACGAAATCGTATAGCGATGAAGATTTTGCAATTGCATTGCGATGTTTTAAATGGGGAAAATTGCTTTGCGATGATCGGTACCCTGTTTTGCTTACTGATCATCACAAAGCGATGATTTTTTAACAGCTGATCGGCGGTTCCAAAATGGCCACCGGGTAAAAAAATGGCCACCCACTGTTTTCTGGGACAGATTCCTCACTTACCGGGCAGCGAAAATGGCCGCTGTATGGAGAATTTTCTCTTACAGGTGAGTCTGAAGCCCATAGGAACGCATTGAAGGGGTTTCAATGCATTCCTATCAGCTTTTTAATATCGCATAGCAACAAAATAGCTTTTCAGCTATTTTTGCTGCACCGATTATCGTCGCTATGCGAGGCACCACTATAATTTCCCCCCAAACTGAATGTGTCCAGAGGTTCAGTTGGAGGTTATATCCTATTCTGTGAAAGCAAGGTCCTGAGAATTTGCTTTAGAAGACAATTTTTTTTTTTTTTGAGCAAATATGTTTATTCACTTTTTTCTTCTAATTTAGTTTAACTTATGTTGTTTGAACCCAACAAATTGTGATTAATCCTAACTGTGGTTTGTTGGCACAAGCCAACTTCAAGCAGTAGGCTTAAAATCAAATTTGAAGATCACCACAGTTCAGATTTTGGACCAAATACTAAATGTTGATGATGAAAAATGGAAAAAATGGAAGCAGAAGCTTCCAGTCTCCTCCTCAAGGTCGTGCTGAAGGAGATGCTGAAGCAGAGGGAGGCACAGAAGCTGGAGGCTTTCTGCAGCTTGTTCTCCTAGTGCTAAAGTGGATTATGTGAGGACTTTCCCAATTAAATGCATGAATAGGAAAGGTGAAATTTTTTGTATTTTGACCTGGAAGTTTTGTGTGTGAATCAAGTTGTATAAGCTGCTCACAGGATTAAATTATGTGTTCCCATTTTGTTGCTTAAATCTGAAATCAGAAATGTCAAACCTGATTTTAAAATAAGACAAAACAGAAAGGTACAGAAGTTTTTAAGACACGTGCAAGATAGATCTCTTTAAGCTTTTGGAAACCAGAGGGAATTTAAATGTGACACCATGCCCTGTGGTTTTTTTCCCTTATATATCTTCTATCTCTCTTGATTTCCTTTTCATTGTCTCTTTATCTGATCAATAATGTTTTGAAGACTGACACAATATTTAACTGGATTGTTGGATCTTTATATTCTGTCTTAGGGTGTGACTACATTGTCTAAATTAAAATACCCAAGAGTTGTCTTGGGATATTATTGTAACGATTCGTGTCACGTGCTCTTGGTGTTGCTGTTCCCATTTCATGGAGCAGCCTCAGTTGAACGGGATTGGTTTGTTGTGAAGGGACCACACTGTTCTTTAAATTTGTTTTAATACACCCTGGTTGGCTTTGATCGGCCTATCCTGACTCCACCTGCATTCTCTCCTTTTCCATAACTGTCTTATCTCGACTTTTTTTCCAAAATTTTGCAGTGGGAGTTTATTTTATTTATTTGTTCCTTCAAGTTTGCAAGTAATTTCTCCCCCTTTTAAAATTCTAAGTGGCATAATGCTGCATCAGTGTTGGAGATTTTGTGTGTGTGTGTGTGTACACACACACACACACAAAATCTCCAACACTGATGCAGCATCACACACACACACACACACACAATCTCCAACACTGATGCCGCATTGTGCCACTTAGAATTTTAAAAGGGGGAGATATATATAGTGCTGCATATATATATATATGCCGCCCACTCTACCCAAAGGTCTCTGGGCGGCATATAAATTAATTTTTTATTTATATAAAAATAAATTTTTATTTATTATAGAAAAATAATTTTTTCTGCAAATGAAACTCCCCCCCCATCTCCATTGACAATTTATTATTAACTATAGATCAGTGATGGCAAACCTATGGCATGCGTGCCACAGCTGGCATGCAGAGCCCTCTCTGTGAGCACGCAAGCCATAAGTCACCGGATTGCTATCCACAGCAGCCAAACCTGAGGAGTCAGCTGCTGCCACAGTGCTAGCGCCCCGACAGGCAGCAGGCCAGGATCTGGAGCAGCTGGTGCTGACGGGGGTTGGGCACCCCCCAGAGTGGGGTCTGGAGGCACCTCCATGCCCAGGATTCCCCCTTCCACCACCGCCACTTCTGCTGCCACCCGCTGGTTGTGTTTGTTTGTTTGTTTGTTTTTCTTTTCCAGTTTGGGCACTTGGGGTCAAAAAGGTTAGCCATCAGTCCTATAGACGGTCCTATGCAATAGGTTGGCAAAGCTTGCAATTGCAGCAGTAAAGAAAGACAGCGACAATTTTTAAAAGCCAAAAAAGAATGCAGATGTAAGCTAAAGAAAAAAAAAAAGAAGGAAAGGAAAGGACCTGGCATAGTGTTTGCATGGAGAAGCTAAAGTTGCTAGATGGAGGGCAAACCATATGCCAATAACAAGCCAGCAAGACTTGAGCACCTGTGAGATGCAGTGCTAAAGTCAAATGGTTTGTTTTTAAAATATTATTAAAGGGAAACCAGTTCAGACAGCAGGCATAATTGCTGATTTCCCAGTGGGACATTTCATACCACCTCAAACTCATCACGAATTCATCAGCACATAGAATCTCCTCTCCC